TCTCTCTCTCTCTCTCTCTCTCTCTCTCTCTCTCTCTCTCTCTCTCTCTCTCTCTCTCTCTCTCTGGAATGATCGCAGGGATGAAGACAAACATGGGATGCACAAAAACGGAACGAAGCTCCCGCTGAAACATGGAAATATACACTGGCACTTTTTGCGCAAAACTGGAATGAATCATTCGTGCGTGTGTGTGTGTGTGTGTGTGTGTGTGTGTGTGTGTGTGTGTGTGTGTGTGTGTATGTGTGTGCGTGTGCGTGTGCATATGCGTGTGTGTATATTTCGATGYTTTAGCGGAAGATCGATTTCGAATTTGCTCATCCTATCGATGGAAGTAGCATGGCCGGAAAGCAGTGCGTATTCGAAGTAGCCTCTCTCTATCTCTCTGCGCGCATGGCTGGCGAGTCCCACTCGCCCCCAACCAATCTTGAGTATTTCCTTCCCCCCTCCCAACCAATCCCGACTCCCATTTCCTCCCTCACCCGTGCGCGATCCCGATTTCCTCTCGCCTCCCAACCAATCCCGACTCCTATTTCCTTCCCCACCCGTGCGCCCGGATCCCATTTCGCGATCCGCCATTTCGCGATCCGCCATCCGTCCCCTCCCTCCAATCTCGACCCCCCCGTCAGTCCCATCCCCCTCCATGTGGGCGATCCCGATTTCGTCCCGCCTCCCAACCAACCTCGACTCCCTCTCCCCTCCTCCCCCATCCGTGCGCGATCCCGATCTCCTCCCCCCTCCKAACCAATCCGGACTCCCATTTCCTCCCCCGCCCCTGCGCCCCGATTCCATTTCCCGATCCCATATCCGCGAGACCCGCTACATGTGTATCCCTCCTTTCCCTCCAACACCGACTCCTTTCATTAGTCCCGATGCCGAGTCCCGCTCCCTTCCTCCCCCACCCGTGCACGATCCCGATTTCCTCCCCTCTCCCAACCAATCCTGACTTCTATTTCCTTCCCCGCCCGTGCGCCCAAATCCCATTTCCCGATCCGCTATCCCTCCCCTCCCTCCAATCCCAACCGCCCCCGTTGGTCCCATCCCCCTCCAGGCGCGATCCCGATTGCGCCCCGATAGCGTATCTCTCCCCCTCCTCCAATCCCCGCTCCTCTCCTTAGTCCCAATCCCGAGTCCCGCGTGCGCCCCGATACCGCATCCCTCCCCTTCCTCCAATCCCCACTTCGATCGACGGAAGTACCCTCGCCGAGGTTGGAGACTTATCGTCTCTCTCTCTCTCTCTCTCTCTCTCTCTCTCTCTCTCTCTCTCTCTCTCTCT